AGCTCTCCCAGAAGCAGAAAGAATCTCTCACTGCCCTCTGGGGGACAGGAGAGACACATATTGCTGAGAGAAAGAGAGATGTAGGAAACACGCACTGCTGAGACAGACACCAAGAGCTAAGCACTGTTGGGAGAGAGGCTGAGAGAGACTGTGGGCTGAGAGACAGTGAGCTGAGAGAGACTGAGCACATTCCTGAACTTGAATTGTAGCCTATTGCTTCCCTGATAAACCTCATAATCTATGAGTTCTGTGAGGCGTTCCAGTGAAATACAGAACCCTAAGAGATTACCGAGAGGAGGAGAAGGAGGAATTAATGTCTGAAATGGTGGAGTGGCATGGTAGTTTGGACATTTGGGACATCTTTAACCTCCATCTCATGGAAACCAGCCTGGTGCTGATCTTTCTAAGAGAAATTGTTCACACACTCACAGACTCAAAAACTTTATGGAGCAGTCCGACTCTACTCACATGGAGTTGCCATGAGTCAGAATCAACTCAGTGACAATTAACAACAAAAGAAAAAAAATGAGAAAAAGCTTGTTAGTCCATAAGATTTCTTTGTTTAAATAGATTTGTATTTCTTTTTAATGAAACAACTTATGTTTCCTTTATTAGATATTATTCTTCTTTTCTAATTTGTTCACATTCTGAAATAGAAGATGATTTGAGTAGATTGCTAATAATACTTATGCATTCTATAATTAAGTAAAGATAGCACCTGGAAAACCAAGGCATTTTTTTGTACAGTGTAGCACTGAATATATTTTCATGTGCTATTATGAAAATAAGCATGTAACTGCATTAAATTGGATTCTTTTGGCATAATGAAGGTACCAACTGAAGGGATTAAATATGTACATTGCTAACATTTCTCAACAGGATTTAGGAGAAGAACCTGGCTGCATCTTTTATAGCAATTTACAGGTGAAAAGTCCTAATATATTCTAACTTTGTAACATGTATCCTCAATTATTCAAGCACCTATTAGTGGTTATGATAGTAATAGAGAGAATTCATGCTCCAGTTGCTGGAGGAAAACTGTTTTTGTGGTTCAAACATTTCAGAAAGAAGCAAGAAGATTACAGATTTGAGGCTCAGATAATAAATTCCTCTCAAAATTACTATTTCACCTAAACCTTAATTATTCTCAGTACCTTCAAGTCTCATTATCCTTAAAGGCCTTAAAAGACTTCAAATGCATTACTGATTCTAAGTTGTTTTGGAGAAAGAACTGACAACCATCACTATACTAGATTAATCATGGATCACTATGTCATTTTAATGTTGACCTCATATGGTTGTTGAACATCTATTTTTAATATGGCTCCAATTTTACATATTGCACAGATTGCACATCCGTGTTATGGATTGGATTTTGTCCTCCAGAAAGGATAAATTGAAGTTCTAATCCCCAGTACCTGGGAATTATGACCAGGAAAGGAAACAGGACCTTTGATGATGCTGTTAGTTAACCAATAGAGTGGGACCTAACCCCATAGAAGTGGTGTTCTTATAAAAGAAGAGAAGAGATATACAGGGGAAAATGCCATGTGACAATGGAGTTACGATGCAGCTGCAAGACAAGGAACTCTGAGAGCTACCAGAAGCTGAGACAGACAAGAAAGAATCTTCCCCTAAATGCTTCAGAAGAGAATGTGGCCCTCCCACCACTCTGAAATCAGACAACTAGGGTCCATAATCATGAGACAATAAATTTCTATCCTTACAAGCAACCTAATTTGTGGTACTTTGTTAGGCAACCCTAGGAAATTAATGCAATCAAGACAGTGATAAGGATTTCTTACCTATAGCTTAGACTTGGCTTTCCTGATTGAGATAAATACTCATTTAGACTTAGACTTGAAGAAAGTTGTAGCTTAGAGTTAACTCTCACAAGAGAATGGTCACTGCTATCAAACCATACTTGATTTGGCATAACTTTGGCTAAATGATTCAAATTTGCCAGATAATTCAAATTACCATTCTGATTTATTAAAACAGATTTTCTGAAGATTTTAAATTCTATATAAATTAAGGAGAAAATGTTCAATATTTTTATATGCTTACATTTATAAATGGATGTCAAGTGTGTGTTCCATGAGTGATTATGTCACTATAGGGATCCTGGGGATTGTACTCAGGGAAAAAAAGAAACAAAAGTTCCTGAATGTCCAACTCAGAAGATGGGAAAAAAGAAAAACAAATAATAAAATAAAAATCTCTGTGGAAGTTTTAAAATGTTCCTTGTCTCATGTAGTCACAAGTCAAATGATGCTGAGTCTGACTTAAGGGTTAAGAAGTTGCAGTCACAATGAAATGTGGAACTCCATCAGGTCTTTTCACTAACCTTAAAGCATGGTGAGAAAAAAAGATGGAACTTGAGAAACAGGGTAATTTTGGTGGAAACAGAGAAGAAAGAGCAAGAGCTTTGAACCTTTAAAACTCACTGCGCGAGTCAGATCTTTGAACCTTTAAATTACTCTAAACCTACTTTACCTATGGAAATAGCTCTCTTTTTTTGAGGGAACTAGTTTTACTCTCCTTAAAATCTTTCACCTGGAGCAAGTGACTGAACAGAAAGACCCAGTTTTCATTAGAACCTAAGCCCTCTACCTCTCATTGTCTCTAGGCCCATGACAAGCAGTTTTTATCCCATTAGGCTTAATTGAGAAATAACATATCAAGTCAGGGAAATAATTATCTGTACCTGAAAGAAATTCCAGAACATTGCTAATGTGCATTAGCTGGAGCCTGGGGGTCATGTACAAGAGTAGATTCTAAGACTCATACACCAAAGAGGATACTCTCCTCATCAGGGCATTTCATTACCCTCTACGGTGGTTGTCCTCTATAAGGTTAAGATAATAATAGGACTCTTTTGATGTAAATGTCAATAATACCAGAGTGGTAGAGGCCCATAGGAATTCAGCTGGTAGCTCTATGATCATAGGATCCCAAGACATAAAACAAATAAATGGTCAGTCATTGTTGCAGAGCACATATAATATACACATATAAAGAGAAAATAAATCTGGATCTTGTGAGCCAGAAACTTTACTCAAGTCAACATAATGGGAATTCATAATGGATCTTTACCCAGTACTGACCTAAGACAGTTTTCAAATCTGATTGAGGAAAGTTAGCTCTCTTTAAAGGACTTTGCTATAGGGTCTTGGATTTATACATTGAGATAGCCTTTGAACTCAAACTTTAATATTGAAAAGAATTACCAAGAGAGTTTGTTAACACATGAAAGACTAGGCCCCTCTCTTGGAGCCTATGATTTGCAAGATCTGGAGATCTGGATGAGGGCTGATAATTTGCATTTCTAACAAGTTCCTGGATGATTCTCACTCTGATGGTCCAGAAACCACACTTTCCAAACCACTTGTTTAAACCAGCATGTTAATGTTCATACGATTCACTAGATTAGCCTGTTAAAATTCAGATTCAGCAGGTCTACAATTGGGCCAAAGGAGCCCTGGTAGCAATAGAGGTCAGTCAAAAGATGAAGATATGATCTGAGTTGTCTCAGAGGGCACATGGTGGAATTACAGCCACATACTGTAGTTCTACCTTTGGTCTTAGAATATATATGTATAATGACTGGAAAAAATCCCCAGATTGGTTACCTAACTTGCCAAGTGAAGGACATTAAGGTAGTAGGTCAAGTGGAAGCTACTATACCAAGATAATAAGTTAAAAACAATACTTCATCCCAATGTATTTGCAGACAAAGATGCTATTACTCAACCAAAACCAAAACCAAACTCACTGCCATCAAGTCAGATCCAACTCATAGTGACCTCTACTAGGGTTTCTGAGGCAGTATCATTACAGAAATAGATTTCCCAACCTTCCTTCCAAGCTATTACTCAAAGACTTGAATAATCCAGGGGTGATGATTCCTAGTGTATTACCATTAATTTACATTTTTGGCTGACAAAAAAACTGCACAGACTTTGCAAAATCACTGTAAATTATTGCAAACCTAATCAAGTGACTTTCCTATTCACAACTGAGGTGAAGATATAGTGGTTTTAGAGGAGAAAATCAATATATCTACATAGACCTATTTTTAGTTTCTTTAGAAATTCTACTAACAAAAGATAACCTTGTGCAGAAACAACAGAACACCTCCACTGTTTCATCTCAGGATATGTCGACTATTCCACTTTTAGTCATCATGCATTTCAGCGCAACCTTGACTTACCTATTATTCCTCAGAATGTTGGGCTGTTTATACATTGATGGCATTATGTTATCTGGACCTGGTGGCAGGATGTAGTAAACTCTCCAGTTGCCCTAACAGGATACAAGCATACAAGAGTATGTGAGATGAGCCTTGTGAAAATTAAAGGGCCTGCCACATTTGTGCAGTTTCTAGGAAAAAGGGGTATTTTGGGATATTCCTTTTAAAGTGATAGACAATTTCCACTACATCCAATGAAGTAAGACGTGTAGTGTAATGTTTGTTTGAGTTCTTAGTATAATTGTGAAAATATGTATATATACCATATCAGAGCCACCACACATTCTGACCCATTTACTAGACAGATTTGTGTCAGGGTCTGTATGAAGAAAGGCACTATAGCAAATACAGGCTGCAGTACAAGTTGCCGTTTCACTCAGGCCTTATTACCTAGCACACCCAATGGAAATGGAAATAGCAGTGGCAGAGATACTCTATTAAGCATCTGGTAATTTATAAGAGAATCAGAATGTCAACCTGTAGATACCAAATGCTTAGTCATTTGTTGTTGTTGTTATGTGCCGTGGAGTCGGACCCTACTCATAGCGACCCCTCTTTGGGTTTCCGAGGCAGTATCACTACGGAAGTAGATTGCCCCATCTTCCTTCCGAGGAGTGGCTGGTGAGTTTGAACCACCAGCCTTCTGGTTAGCAGTCAAGTGCCTTAGCCAGTATGCTACCAGAACTCCCCAAACAAAACCAAACTCACTGCCACCAAGTTGATTTCAACTGCCGAGAGATTGTGGCCAGCCATGATCGTATAGTGGTTAGTACTCTGCGTTGTGGCCGCAGCAACCTCAGTTCGAATCCGAGTCATGGCAGTGACTTTTGTCTACCTTCACTGCTTAGTCATAGAAACTAAATAACTAATCAAAATGAATTGTTCTTCATGACCTGGGTACTACATGATCATTGAATGATAGAGCTGGACATGAACAGCATCATTCCATGCTTAAATGAAAATGATTGCTGAAAGAACGAATGCGTTACTTTTTCTCATTTTCAAGGGTTTAATTTCCTTTTTACATCTTGTTCTGATTGATACATTCCTTTCACTGAAAGGTGTGAAAAGTAAGTAAGATAAAATGAAACAAGTAAAAAAATTAACTTTTTGAAAAGTGTACAGCAAATTCTTAATTATTAACGCATATGGAATTGAAATAGCCTCATAGACCACCATGTAGTAGATATTGACAGAAAAAAAACTATGGGTTTTCTTCAAGTGCATTTTGCTAGGGATTTTTTTCTTGACTGACAATTTCATATTTGAAATTCCCATATTTGACATATTTATTTTTTCATGCATTCATTATTCATTTGCAGATATATATATAGAAAACCTGAATAATGAACAGGACAATAAATTTTAACTGACTATGGTGGATGTATAAATTGATAAGGGAAATGCTTATAAATTTCACAAATTCATTGTATTTATCTCTAAATAGGGATTGCTTAAGCTATTAATTCTAAAGGAATATAGAAGTGTTAAGGTTAAATACTCATAAGCTTAATGGATTTTATCCAAACAGGGTAAGAATTTTTCTTAAAAATTGATCAAAAGTTCAACAATATTTACTGTCTTTACAAAGATTAATTGGATTAATGAAGCTTAACAAATTTTAGCAATATTTAAAAATATTTAATGAAATTCAAATAGATTTAACAACTTAAGTTTTCAGTTAGCCACCCAGAAAAGACGTTAAATGATCTTGGGTTAATTAGTTTTGGGAATGCTTAACCAGTCTTATCTTGTCATTTGAACTTAACAGCATAACAAGAATTTTTTAAAGTTTAGCTAGTCTCAGCTTGGTTTAACGGGGTTTAAAAATGCTTAGCTACATTTAATGAGGAATAACTAATGTTACCAGAGCTAAAAATTTTAATGAAGTTTAAATGTTAATGAGACATAAGTCCCTTTACTATTTTAGGTTATGAAGATTTTTCTTGAGATCAGGAAAGTCCCATAATTTCTGAGACAATTTATGAACACAATCTAAAAACAAATTATTGATAAATAAAAAGCATTTCTAAAAGATGCAATATGGTTTTTGGACTTGATGGGAAGGGAAAATCGGGAAACTGCAATTGCAAATATTCCTATAAAATAGTGGCTAACATTATGGAGCCCTTAGAATTTAAACTGGCCTTTTCTTCCATCAGATCCAATATCCTACATTGTTTCATTTCAAATAATGAACCTGTTTACTTTGTTCATAATTCTTATCTCATGTTTTTTATCTACTTTGAGGAACCCTTTCAGCATTTGAAACTGGGAGATGAAGGTGATGCTTGCAGAATCAAGTTTTTCCTTTCAAAATACTGGACAAATCTGGAGTTGGAGAAGGATAGGAAAAACAAGGATAGAAAAGTAATTTATAGATTAGAGTTTTTGAAATGGAAAGTGGAATGAAATCCCTCTATCCTGAGGACTAGAGAGTTATTTGGAAAAGATTCAACTACTGGCCCAATAAGTGATTTCCCAACAAACAATCAATATTTGAGACACTACTACTCTTTAGGGAAGAAGACAGGACTGACTGCTGAAACAGGTAGGGGGATGACCAAGAAGTGGTCAGAGAGTTTTGGAACAACTAAGGGAGGCGAACTTCTCTGTCAGTTTGTCCTGCTATGGTGGTTTGTGTGTTGCTGTGAGGCTGGAGGCTGTACTGCAGTGTTTCAAATGCCAGCAGGGTTGTCCAGGGTGAACAAGTGTCAGCAGAGCTTCCAGACTGAGACAGACTCAGAAGAAAAAAGAGGCCATCCACTTCTCCAAGAATTGGCCATGGAAAACATTATGAACAGCAGAGAAACACTAACTAATACATTACTGGACAACTTTATGAATAGCCCTGAAATATTGTCCAATACAGTACCAGAAGATAAGCCCCTTAGGTCAGAAGGCACTCAAAATACGACTGAGAAAGAGCTGCCTCATCAGAGTAGAACCAACCTTAATGATATGGATAAAGTAGAACTGCCAGGACCTCCATTTGCTGACATGGGATGACTCAAACTTAGGAGAAACAGCTGCAAAAATCCATTAATAATCAGAACATGGAATGTACAAAGTATGGATCAAGGATAATTAGAAGTTATGAAAAATGAAATGGAATGCATAAAGATTGATATCTTAGGCATTAGTGAGCTGAAATGGACTGTTTTTGACCATTTTGAATCAGACAACCATCTGATCTACTATGCTGGGAATGACAAATTAAAAAGGAATGGAGTGGCATTCATCATCACAAAGAATGTTTCAAGATCTGTCCTGAAGTACAATGCTGTCTGTGATAGAATAATATCCATTCACCTACAAGGAAAGCGAGTTAATTCTACTATTATTCAAATTTATGTACCAACCACCAAAGTCAAAGATGAGATAATTGAAGATTTTATCTACTTCTGAAGTCTGAAATTGACTGTACATGCAATCTAGATGTGCTGATTATCACTGGTGATTGGAATGCAAAAGTTAGAAACAAAGAAGAGTGTCCAGTAGTTGGAAAATTTGGCCTTGGTGATAGAAATAACACTGGAGATCCTGTGATAGAATTTTGCACGACCAATGACTTATTCATTGCAAATATCTTTTTTTCAACCACACAAATAGCAGCTATACACATGGACTTCATGAGACGGAGTGCACAGGAATCAGATTGACTACATTTGTGGCAAGAAACAATGGAAAAGTTCAGTATCTTCAGTCAAAACAAGGCCAGGAGCTGATTATGGAACAGACCATCAACTCTTCATATGCAAGTTCAACTTGAAGTTGAAGACAATTAAAACAAGTTCATGAGACGCAAAATATGAGCCTGAATATATCCCTCCTGAATTAAGAGACATCTAAAGAATAGATTTGAACATGGAACACCAATGACCGAAAACCAGAAGAATTGTGGGAAGACATTAAGAACATCATCCACGAAGAAAGTAAACCAAACCCAAACCCACTGCTGTCGAGTCATATCTGGCTCATGGCGACCCCTCCTTTGGTTTCTGAGGCGGTATCACTACGGAAGTAGATTGCCCAACCTTCCTTCTGAGGAGTGACTGGTAGGTTTGAACCATCAGCCTTCTGATTAGCAGTCAAATGCCTTAAGCACTATGCTACCAGAAGAAAGAAAGAGGTCACTAAAAGAAAAGAAGACCAAAATGGATGACAGAAGAGACTCTAAAACTTGCCCTTGAGTGGAGAGTAGCTAAAGCAAATGGAAGAAATGACAAGATAAAAGAGCTAAACAGAAGATTTCAAAGAGCAGCTACACAAGACAAAGTCAGTTATTATAACGAAATGTGCAAAGACCTAGAGTTAGTAAACTAAAAGAGAAGAACACACTCAGCATTTCTCAACCTGAAAGAATTGAAGACAAAATTTAAGCCTTGAGTTGCAATATTGAAAGATTCTATGGACAAAATATTGAATGATGCAGGAGACATTAAAAGAAGATGGAAGGAATACACAAAGTCACTGTACCAAAAGAATTTGTTGATGTTCATGCATTTCAGGAGATGGCATATGATCAAGAACCAATAGTATTGAAGGAAGAAGTTGAAGCTGCACTGAAGGAAGTGTCAAAAAACAAGGCTCCAGGAATTGACAGAATACCCATTGAGATGTTTCAGTATATGGATGCCCCACTGGAGGCACTCACTCAGCTATGCCAGGAAATTTGGAAGACAGCTACCTGGCCAACTGACTGGAAGAGATCCATATTTCTACCCATTCCAAAGAAAAGTGATCCCACAGAATGTGGAAGTTATCAAACAATATCATTAATATCACATGCAAGTAAAATCTTACTGAAGATAATTCAAAAACCATTGCAACAGTATATTGACTGAAAACTTCCAGAAATGTAAGCTGGATTCAGAGGAGGACATCTAATGAGAGATATCATTGCTGATGTCAGATGGATCTTGGCTCAAAGCAAAGAATACCAGAAAGATGTTTACCTGTGTTTCATTGACTCTGAAAAAGCATGTGATTTTGTGGATCACAACAAATTATGAGTAACATTGAAAAGAATGGGAATTCAAGAACACTTAATGTACTCATGAGGAACCTGTACATAGACCAAGAGGCTTTTGTTGGAACACAAGGGGACATTGCATGGGTTAAAATCAAGAAGGGACTGTGCCAGGGTTGTATCCTTTCACCATACTTATTCAATCTGTATACTGAGCAAATAATCTGAGAAGCTGGGCTATATGAAGAAGAATGCAGATTGGAGAAAGAATCATTAACAATCTGTGATATGCTAACAACACAACTTTTCTTGCTGAGAGTGACGATGACTTAAAACACTTACTGATGAAGACTGAACAACACTGTCTGCAGTATGGATTACACCTCAATATAAAGAAAACAAAAATCCTCACAACTGGACTAATAAGCAGCATCACAATAAATGGAGAAAAGATTGAAGTTGTCCAAGATTTCATATTACTTGGTTCCCAGTCAATGCCAATGGAAGCAGCAGTCAAGATATCAAACAATGTATAGCACTGATCAAATCAGCTGCAAAAGACCTCTTTCAAGTGCTGAAGAGCCAAGATGTCTCCTTGAGGTCTAAGGTATGCCTGACACAAGTCATGGTATTCTCAATCACCTCATATGCATGTGAAAGCTGGACAGTGAATAAGGAAGACTGAAGAAGAGTTGATGTTTTTGAGTTTTGGTGCTGGTGAAGAATGCTGAAGGTACCATGGACTGCTAAAAAAACTAACAAATATCTCCTGGAAGAAGTGCAGCTGACTGCTCCTTGGAAGCAAGAATGTCCAGACTTTGTCTCACCTACTTTGGTCATGTTGTAAG